TCTTATACTTTATTTATTATACTTTTGAATTGCACTGTTAAAATGCGGAAATATATACAATCTCAGTCTGTGCTCCTGACATCGCGTTCACTCACAGTCACGAACTCAAACGGCACGCTTCACCTCGCTTCACCTCGTTTCACACACCTGAACACAAAATGCCGAAGACTTCAGCTGTGTGGGACCATTTTAAATTGGACGACGGTAAGAAGAAGGCAGTGTGCCAAATATGCGACAAGAAACTGGCCTACCACGGTGGCACAACAACTCTGAAAAGTCACCTGGATACTGTAAGTAGTAGCCTAGCTTAGCTTAGCTGTTGTCAAGTTGCCATGATGAATCAGCCGTTTAAACAGTAACGTTACACATGATAAAAACGTGCACTTACTTTGCTTGGAAAATAGTTGCAAGCAAGCAACAAAATTGTTTTTTTATATTAGTTTTTCAATTTTATCCGAATAGTGAAAATAATAGGAGTAATGTGGGAACATCTGGGGCTAAGGCAATTATTGGCATACAGTTCATTCATTTATTTTTCGTGAGTAAGGTGCAGTACCGGAGTCCAACAGAGAGGCAGCAGCTGCGGGACAGTAGACTGCCTACTGTGAAACCTTCCCTGCCTTGAAGAAGAAGTGATCCTTCGTTGTGAAGAGTCTGCTTTGTGCGCTCGGCACCACAGCAGCAGCCCCGCTGCGACAGAGTCCAACAGAGAGGCTGGAGCTGCTGGACAGTAGCCTAGAAGCAGGGTTGGGTTGTAACGGAATACATGTAAGGGAATACATGTAACGGCGTTACGTAATCAGAATACAAAAATCAAGTAGGTTAACTGTATTCAGCTGGCGTTACATTTGAAAAACGAGTAATCTGATTACAGTTACTTTCATAAACCTGAAGTGAATATATTTTGGAATACTTATTGGAATTATTGGTGGAAAAGTTTTCATTACCGGCAGAACTGTCTGCACACTGCACAGCGCTGCAGCATGTCTGTGAGCGAGAGAGAGATGCAGCGTGTCTGTCAGGCCCCGCCCCCGCACGCAGATGAGAGAGAGAGATCTCTTTTAAAATATATTGAAAGTTAGAAACGGAGATGGTTTGATCAAATGTGCAAGATAACGTTTATGTAGCATTTCTTTATTGTCGAAATGATGACATTTCATAACGGGATCAAATCAAAGTGAATGGCCTGCTGCTGCTGAATGCGTGGGGCAAGTGACTGGAAACAGTTTTAAAAGTTATTACATCGTTTCAGATAATAAATAATAATGATAATTCATTCTATTTAGGGGCGCCTTTCAAAGCACCCAAGGACACCTTACAATTCATAACATATTCTAAGGAAAGGTTTTAAGACAGTACAAAGAATGCAGTCCGGGTGATGTTTTTTATGTGGGGTGCAAATGAGACGGAGCTGTCCAGAATGACACCAAGATGTTGTGTTTGAGTTCTTGATAAGCCATTAAAACAGTAAAATAAGTGTCTCCTGTTCACCAAAACATACCCATCTGTTCTGGAAAAAGAAAGTATGCCAAAAGTATTCTAAAAGTAATCTGAATACGTACTTTTTTAAGACACGTAACTGTAACTGTATTCTGATTACTTTCAGAGCATATATTCAGTATTCAGTAACTGATTACATTTACAAAATGTAATCCCTCCCCGGTCAACAACTTCAAAATTCTGGGCTATATAAAAATTGCTGGCTATAGTGTCTATTGGATAAATGTTGGCCCTTGGACAAATGTAGTTGGTGATCCCTGGTTTACTGTATCGGTAACAAGTGTTACACTGTTAGGCCTACTGTTACGGCTATGTTATTAAAAGTATTGTTGTTATAACAGAAATATGTGTTTTGTATCTTCAGGTTGCAAAACGTTATAGACGGAATTTGGAACCAGATTTGGTCCCCGGCCGCTGCACTGCGGCTGGGTTAAATGCAGAGGACACATTTCGTTTTAATGTATGCAAGTACTGAGACAATAAATACAAATAAATCGTGATAGTATGCTCTTTCTGCCCTTCTGCTTAACAGCGTGTTGTCAGGTGTCTCGGATTCTGAGCGTGTTATGAAACCTTTTGGAAAAAAATCTTTTATTAAAAAATAATAATAATTTCTCTGCACCAAATATTCGAATATTCGCTGCTGATAATATCCGGAGCCCGAAAAATGGTATTCGGGACAGCCCTAGTATATTTAAGCAATAGCTCACGACAGGCCGTGGTATATGCTCATTATATCACAGCTAAGGGGCGTGGTTCGGCCCGACGCGAAGCGGAGGGTCGAAAACCCCCTT